ACCCACCCGCCCATTGGTCCACACACCTGTACATTCCTTGGCGCCCCAGACTTATAAAGTGTAGTGGTCATCGTGGGGAATCGTCGCTCATAACTTACTCCAGAAGATCGTTGAGCAGCTAAGGAACATGGATCTGGTATTAGTGCCTCAGTACCAGCAGAATGGTATGCGTCACATGTGGAAATGCCACTTCGACAGAGGGTCTTTCCCCTGTTAGATCATGCACTTTTCTCGAATGATGACTTGATTGAAGATTTTGATAATATCTGAGTCTGTAGCAAGTGAACGCATTTTAAAATTGAATAGGTAGTGCTGAATTTTAAATATTCGCCATGCCTGCTTGTGAAGGGAATATCTTAGCAGCTTGAATTTTTTCATCTATAACACAGCTGCTGCAAAGAGGAAAACATTTTCTATCGGGTGCTGCGGATTATCTTTGACGAATGGTCAAAGAAAGCGATTCAACTTTTGCAGTTACAATGACCGCCAAAAAAGTTGCAGGCAAGCCGCCTTCCTCTTCATCGCTCATTTTCGGATGGAAAACAAAGATGAAAAATTTATCGGAGTGCATGAGATGATAGAACTTTTGGAGGGCTACAATTAACACGTCACGCTTTCTGGAAAAAAATGAATTCTGAAAAAATCGAAAGCCTTTTCTTTAAACAGCTCCTGGGCACGTCACAATGGCCCGTAGTAAAGCTCGGTCACGGGAGATGATCTCCCCTGAGGCGCTCATATGAGGCTTTGTCGGGTGAGATGAGGACTGCCCACTATTCCGTGGTGTAAATATGCAAGGTCACCCTACAGGTGAACTGCAGATGAAGCCCGACAGGGAGATCAGCTCCCGACCGAGTCATCGGAGATGAGCCGGGCGACGACATAAGGTAAATCCTGTGTTAGAGAGGAGAGCACAGAGAAAATCTTCGTAAGTTGCTCCCGAGTAACTTACGAAAAATTGCAGCTCACGTTCTTTTGCGGTGCGATACTCCCAAAACTGCAAAATTTCGGGCGCCCAAGTGAGAGAGGATCGAAGAACAGCTGAATGCGCGACGGATTCGAAAAAAAGTTTTTTTTTTGCGTTTTTCTTACAGATGATACACGTTTTCTACGGAAAAGCCGCTTCAGATGACAAAGAGGTAAATTTATCTTTTTATTCGTTTTTCGCTAAGTTAATTTTTCTTTTTATGAGTGCCAAATTGTTGTATATTTGTTTTATGTCGTTGTTTGCTTGACGAGATTTTTGATAGCTGCTATCATCGATTTTTCGATAACGGCCGCTATCAAAGGTCGCCGGGCCAAGTAGCAAAAATGGTGCCGCTAGCCGCACGCGAACCCCGGCTCTGCCGCCTGAAACGCACTAATCTTATCCATTCGACTACCACTACTGCACGAATGGCAAAAACGTTCCACCTTTGAAAACGCGAACGTCCAGTAAGTGATCTGCTCCAAATCCCCCTGGCAATGTGCTGAGGCGCGATGAGATCAACTGCGGTCCGCCTCAAGAGAGATGCCCTGATGGGGGTTTACTACGGGCCAATGTCGCGGACAATATTCCTCGAACGCAAAAATTTTCTTTTGGTCAAGGTCTAGGTCTTTTTCTGGAGCAAAAACTAAGTTTACCGGTTAGACTATTCTGTAGAGCTCTTCGAGCACAATAATCAAGTAGTGGTTTCTTATAGTAAGACACAAGCTTGAATTTTATTTTGCCTTTTTCAAAAAATAACTTCTAATTTCTTCCTCCAAATCAACTTTTTCCACATGTAAACCTATTCCAGACATCCCAATACAGCTGTTCCGATAAAATGGATGATCTTTGCTACCCTCTATGCATCGGAGGTGCGCTGGTGAGTTTCATTGCTAAGAAAGGCTCTTGACAGTGCGTGCACATGACCCCACATGCACTCACTACTGAATTGCACCGCTTTGCATGCATGTAGCTCGGCCTGCAGTCAATCTGTGAGTTCGTAAGCACATTCGAAAGAGCAAGACTTCCTCGACACAATGGTTGCAAAGCGTTAGCTATGTGAGAGAATGTGCAGCTGCAAATCTTTGCGCATGTACATGCATACGAGAATTAACAGATTGATTTGAAAATATAAAAGAACTTTCTCATCAACCTAATAATTAGTGCCCAGCCTCACTCGTCGTGCGGGCACCTCAACTTTTCACCATTCGGCTAACGTCATCCATGATCGTCTTGATACGCGCTTGCGACTGGTCCCGATCAAACCACAACTGTTGACTCAGTTGATTTACACAAAAGCTTTATCGCATCATCTCTTCCGGTGGTGTTGCATATGTACGGATCGAAAATTCTGAAATCCACTCCAAGATATTCATCGTTTCATTCAAAATCGAAGACTTGAAGAGACTTGTTTCAAAGGCTGGCTGCATGTAGAGTCACCTCTTTCTAGGCACTACTGAATTCTCTGAACCTAAAATTTTTTATGGTTACGGCATCAAAGCATGGAACATTTATTAGACCTGAAAGGTCACCTCTTTATAGGAAGAAATGCACAGCATTTTTAACTTAAAAATGCATTGAGAGTCTGATTGTTCCAAAAAAAATGTTTGTCAGGATTTCATGTACTTATTTGTCACGGATGAAGTTCTCAAGATCGCGTGATCGCTGATGCTGACACGGAGTACGATCATAGGCGATCGGCTAAGCACGGCCCTGTAACCTGATTTGACGCTCCAAATCTTCTGATGTGAACTTGACAGTTTGTTTGCATGAAGACGTTTTTACACTAACATTGTCAGGATTTTTGCAAAAACGCAATTGCAACATTGGAGTTTGCTTCGCCTCCAGATTAGTTGTGCGCAGTGAACCTAATATAACTTCAGATCTTACTTCTCCCAAATCCTCATTAAGCCAGATCATACGGAACTATTAGGACTACTTCTTTTCTGAAGTTCTGAGCTGGTGTCAGTCCGATGGAGAACTCAGAGTGGGTCCTTGCGATGACGTTTTAGCTATGCGTACGAGTTGAGTGTTGTACTGACGACGTACTGATTGCACCACAAAACTTTCCACACATTAGAACTCAACTTTCGTTTTTTGCAAGCTCGTCTCCGTAAAAGTGAGGTTGTGGCTTTTTTATCAGCATCAACGATCACGCAAAACTGACTTTAGAGCCGTTTCGAATTCATCGCAAACTCTCTGCGAATCCTAAGGCTCACATTCAAATAATAAGTGCTAACATCATGTAAACCAGCAGTTTTTAAAAACAAATTTATCTTGTGCATTCTCAGGCAGAAAAGCAGTGCGGCTTTTTTATAGGGCGTTAGCTCCCGTAATAAATAGAATAAATAATGAACAAATAATAAAATGTCTCATAAATTTCTCATATATCTATGTCGCAGCTATAAAAAAAATTTTTGCTTCAAAGAATATGGTCGTGCTTGAAAAAAGGAAGTGGTCTGTAACCAACTTCAATTTCTTAAGAGCAAAATCGGATTCGGGGTGCCGCTTTGGCTGAAGATATTATGTTGGTCCGCACACAATCTAGTGGTTTTTCATACACTTCCATTACGCTAATTTCACCCCTATAAGACGCACCTTCTTCGATATTTCAAGCTTGCCGCTCAGCCTCCTCGTTGTGTTTCGGAAAACGACACTTATGCCGCACGGTACTCTCGGGCGATAGCAGCACTGTAAATAGCTTTTTGGTTGCCAAGTCCTTCGACGTGTCTGTGCTGTTCGATTTTAGAAGAAAAATCCCCCGCGTCCTATACGCGTGAAATAAGGGTGCTATATGGCAAGTTTCCGTAAACATCAGTAGCTATGGCAGCACTTGTTCGTAAGCTAGTCGCGCTCACCTTTGACTCTACAAGTTTCCCTGTTAAGCAGCCAAAACTTGAGTTGAAACCACAGCTATTTCGAAGACACCTTCAAAAAATCTCTTGAATAGTGTTTCTTCTGCTCCACCTGGTTAGGCTGCTGCTCGCTCCCGCCCCCAAGTAGTTCTGGGGTGTTTTCTCACTATATCAGAAGATGAATAATTTATTTTTACTAGGTTGTCTCTTAAGTTTCTTTTATTTTTGTCTTTTTACAGCAATAAGTCAAATTCTTAACTCCAATCGAAGTGCAAAGTACCATTTAATAGAGGAAAGCAAGCTCTATAAGACGTGTTTGCATTAAATTCAGCACATCACGAGCTAAAAGCCGAAACCGAGAATTTTCAAATGCCCAAAAATTTGAATTTTTTTGCACTTCTGTTTAAAGGCAACATACCAGTCCCAAACTTGCTCACACATTTACAGTCCACATAAGACGTTCACATATGCCATTGCTGTGTTTGTTTCTGTGCTGAAAACCAGGAAAATCAAAAATTTTCAATTCGAAAACAGATGCTGCGCTGTTCTCACAATATATACCACAAGCTCTAAAAGTGCGATCACAGATTTCTTACATTCTACAAATTGTAGCTCCCAAAAAATATTGATCTCAACATAATATACGCTAACAAAAAAGCTAATTGGTATTTTTGAAGAACTAGCGCTTCCAAAAAGCTACAAGGCTTCTAGTATACATCTATCTGTGTGAGAACAGCGCAGCATCGTTTTTGAAATCTTGAAAATTTAGTTCTCTTCGTTTTTAGTACAGAAACAAACCCAGCAGCTGCACATGTGAATGTCGTATGGGGGAGTGTATATGTTTGAGTACGTATAGGATCTTGTAAGTTTTCTTTGGACAGAATGTGAAGAATTTTCGATATTTCGGACCTCCGAAAATTTTCAGATTTCGGCTTCTAGCTCGTGATGTGGTGAAGCTGGTGCGAACAATGACAGGCCGTCATATAGAGCTTGCTTTGCTTTATCGAATGGTTCCCTGCATTCTGACCAGAATTGAGATATGTGGGACTTATTGCAATAAGAAGACAAAATTGAAAACTTATGAGACAACCTAACAACCTAATAATGATTTCAACAAGTAGATTGAGCGTACAATCAAGGAGGTTAGGTACAAATTTATTCACGTTAATACAACCCTAAAGCATCATTCTAACAAGAATAAAGTCTGATGAAAATAAGCAAAAGTTTGTGAAATAGAAGAGAAATGCTATTAGCCAAAACAGATATATGAGCACAGACGTTTTTGCCTTTGGCTAAGTAATGAAGGTTCTAATGTGCAATTTGAGCTAGCAAATAAGGCAATGTGCAACATAATAAATAGTGCTTCAACAGCTATATATTTACATGAACTCCTCAGTTTGCTGTCCTATCTACATTATTGTGCCTTAATTTTCTTAACGTTTACAATTCCTAAGAGCCTCTTTGCAACGTATAAAAGAAAGAAAACAGTAAAAAGACATATTCCAGCGAATAACAGAAATATGTCCAAATTATGATAAGCTACGAAGCTAAGCTTTCGTCCTGCAACAAGAGACTCAGGCATATGGCCAAACTCAGCGGCTAATTCCACAGTTTTCACTAGTTTCTGCTCGGGAGAGAACGGTCGTTTGGCAAGGAGATTTTGGATTCGACGAGCAGCGACAGTGTACCTTAAGTAGTTTGATTGCAGAATGTTTTTCAGAATGTTTACAAAAACATTTTGGAAAGGTGAACCAACTTATTATCTTCAAGAATCGTTTTAACAGCATTCCGTAAGGCATCCACATATTTGAGATTCGATTTATCCAGCATCATGCCTGAAGCAAACAAATTGATCTATTGAGTACCAAAATCAAACGCTCCTTTATTGCAGCCAAGGAGAAGGCGGGGGAGTGCAAGTGAGATTATTTACTAAAAAGTGAGACTCGAATGTCCCACGCATAAAATTTTGACAGGACGGAACACGAGATGAAATTCTTTTTTTATTCAAGGTGCCGAAATGGTACATGTGAGGCTGCTACAGAAAAGGAAGATACTTCCTGTATTTCAAGCTTACATCATCATTGGGAATGAACAATCGAAGTAAGAAAAAGCAGGTTTGTTTGAGCATTTGATTTTCGAGAAGTTAGCACCAACCCTTCAGCCAACGCAAGAAATCTAATGTTTGCAGAATGTAAAGAGAGTATTTACTAATAAGTTCGTTCACATTTGTACCGAATTTTTCTTTATATTTTTGATAGTGTTCGATAAAAAGTGCATGTGCTACTGAAATCTTAATTAGTGCTGTATCAATTCCATTCAGTTTGCTAAACTATCGATCCGTGGAAATCTTGGAGTTTTTGATTTCAGGAACGGAGGAAGTGACAGATCTATTTTCGACATCTAATTTCCCTGCACATAGCTCAGAAAACAGCTCGCAACATTTCTGATGTGTGCTTTTTGTGGTTTCTTTTACGTCGTCGTTAAAGATCCGAAGGTTATAAGTATTTTCAGCAGATATTTTTATGCTAGAATTCTTAGGTTAAGTCTTCTGACGGGGAAGAGTGGTGGTTCTAAGTTAGACGTAAATGCATTCAAACCCACCAAATCCAAACTTCTCGACTAATAGTGCATTTCGAACTTGGTCACCAAATAATGGTACGACAACCAAAGGTTTGCCATAAGTAGCACTTTCAAACAAGCTGCCAGCGCCGCCATGTGTGACGAAAAGTGTCAGACGATCGTCGGCTAAATTCAAACAGTTGGGAAATCCACCTATTCGAACTAGCTATTTTATTAATATTTAATATTCTTATTTACCGAGTAAGTCTGTCTGAGGGGTCCACTTTGACATTACCAAATTTTCCAATCCGTCTGCAAATACTGCACTTTCCGGCTCCTCATACTTCCATATAAACGTTATATCAGGATTCCTAGAAGGTGATTGTAACTCGTAGTTTCTCAAAAAAACCCCCTCTAAAACTCACAATTTTATAAGATTTATAACGGATTGTTTGTAAGCTTCCGGCATGCTTGCACTCCTCAAAACGGATCCAAAAGAGATGAGTATGGTACGAGAACGTAGGTTCATAACGTCGTTCCAATTCTAAAAAGCAATTTTTTGAGCTGCTTCATTTTTCTTTTATGGGATGAGATATATAGTTAAAGATGTGTTTTGAATTATTTCTAACGGATAAACTACTTCACTTCGTAGTCTTGAGGTATAAGCACCTTTTCAAGTGGTTTCGCCTCATGAACTCCAATTCCACCGATATCCACAACTTTATTCAAGGTTGGTTTTGCGAAGTCAAACAACGGATCAACATTTGTGAGCAACCACGTCATATTTGACACGCTATCCTTTAATGATAAACATTTGACTAGGCATGGCAGGGACATTGACTTACCCATATGGGAGTGGCAGATTTTCCGAGCTTTTCAAACATAACCTCGTCAACACCGCTTGCAGCGCTGTTTTGGAAATGATAGGAAAGATATGTATAGACGATACTTTTAACGCGAGTTAAGAACGATGAAGAATCGTCTGTGATTCCTAGTGAAGCTGGAAGTTACGATATTTATATTTTTTTATTTGCTTATATTTACACTTTCCAGAGAGGCATTCCCAGAGCGCATGGAAATTTCTTTAGATACAATGGTGAACAAAAGTAGGTCCACTCTAGAAAATGCCATAACTCACTCTGTTCTCAATAAAATCTTCCAAAATTTGGTGCAGCTAGATGTTTATCAGCCTACTAAGAGTCACCAAGACGGGTCTCGTTTTCGTTTGGTTATTCAAGAAAAAATCAAAGATGAAAAGACTGGGCTTGAAGGCTAGTCGAAATTATAGGTCCATCTGGGTTTTTGCTGATCGAAGCACTTCCTAGCTTCCAAAATTTTTTATGATAGACACTTATAAGTGTTAAACAGTTGCCTTAGTCAAACTGTCGTGCCTCCAAAAAATCGATTATCGCGTTTTTGCCTTGAAAATGCTTTCACGTATTTCGTTATGAAATTATTTCGCTATGTTCGTTATGTATTTCGTTCCAGAAACCTGCTTTGAGTAGAACGTTCTGCGGTTTCTCAGCTGGAGTGGAAGTGACGGTTGTGTTTCATCCACCTTCTGGATGCTTTTTAACGTGAGCATTGTGGAAAAAATCAGACATTTTGCTACTGAGTTAAATCCGACATTGACATTGCTGCAATCCGGAGCTGAAATTTCTGCCTTCACACTTCTTCTGCGATGCCCTCAGAAGCACTAAGTAAAGTCAAGGCATTTTTTTACGAAGAGGAGACCGTATTTAATGGTTACAACTTTCTAGAAATCCTAGCATTTGAGTGTAATTACGGAAATCACCCTGCAGACGCTGATTGCGACAAGCACCAAAGCTAATATGGCTCTAACCAAATTTTTCAAAAAAGCCATGTGCTAACATACAATACAAGCTGTATCCACTATCTATTAAATGACTACTGTCAAAATTTTGAGTGAGGTAGCACTTGGAAGCTATTTTGGAAGAGAGTAACACCATTATTACGTCGCATATTTCATGATTCGAAAAAGAAGCAAAGGGCAATTTCGTAAACATTAGTGAGTATTTCGTACAGATTTACCTTGTGTAACGAATGCTTCCACTATATCTTGAGGTCATAATGACGAAGCATAAAGGGTTTTAGGGCAGAAACTGAAGCTTAGGCTTCTGATTAAGTCAATGTCGGATTTGCTTTAGCAGCAAAAAGTCAGATTTTTTCTTTTGCTCACGTCAAAAACCATAAAGAAGGTAGACGAAATCCCGTCGCTTCCAATCCAGCTGAGAAACTGCAGAAAATTTTCCTACTCAAAGCAGGTTTCTGGAGCGAAATACATGTGAACACGTTTTTATCGTGATCATCATCATTTTCATCAACGCATCTTGATATATTGCGAGTCTTCGAAATTTTAAGTCGTCCAGTTGGCAATTCAACTGAGTGCAAATTCTTTTTGGCATCAGTGACTTTTGTTAGCCCTACCTGGCACGTAGCTAGGAATCACCGGGACGCCAATAGCATAAGCGGAGCCTTCAAACAAACCCATCGAATGTGCACCAATTATGTTTTTCAATCCAATCGCCTCAAACACCGCTGGAAAAGCAAACTATTTCAAAGCATCCACAATATCAAACTCTTTAACTTACGAAAGCCGGAGAACTCGAACAGCTCCGTGATGCCGACATCAAAGTTTTCAGACTTCAATTGCTGCAGCAATTGATCGTCATTGAGGAGCGCTGTAACTTTACAGAGATTATGACTGAATACCAATGTAAGGAATCACGTACTTCTCGCCATGGCCTTGAAAAATTCCTTTATCATAGGTATACCCTGAAAACGCGGAGTAACATTATAAAATCAGAAGATTGCCATAACATAGCACAGCTAGTTCTTATTGCTCTTAGGCCTAAGGCATACCTAGCGCGATTCGTCAAATCGCTACATCCACGCGACTTGGCAGTTTGCCAGATATTTACAGATCAATCGGTGCGGGTCCTAAGTGCATAGACGCGTAGCTACCGTAGGTTATAGCAAAAGCTTCAATTCTGGCCCATGCAAAACGCGGTAACGACCAGTTACGAGGAGTCGCTGCAGTGCCAGATCGCGCAGCGACTGGAATCGCGTGAAGTATGCCTTAGGCCTTATGTAGCACATACTTTAAGAAATAATATTGGATTCGAAACGCTGTCCGTCCATTTGCTTTCGTGATCTTTCAGCATCTTGGCCACCAATGGAGCAAGGTCTTGTTGAGGCTGCACTTGAATCAGTCGTGATCTCTTAGTGCCGTTGTTCGGATGTGGTGCAAGCACAGGCTGTAGTGTCACCTAAAATATGAGCTAGCGAGTTTTGAATCAGTTCTGGTACTTTTCCATTGTACGGACCCAATTTTCTAAAGAAGCATATTGCTTGTATCCTTGTACCATATGAGAAGTGGGCTAGGATTCCCTCATTTAAGAGGCGAAATAAGCACAAGGTACTTCAAGCTATCATTCATAGTCCTTCCTGGCTAAATACGCATGGTGAATGGTTCAAAGAAAAAGATATTCTTGAATCACTTCTGAAGGCGATCAAAATCTTTTGAAATGAGTTCAAGATTGTTGTGCTTTTGTAAAAAAAAACAGTTAAACAGCTTTTAAGTAATCACAAATCTATTTTACCTCACCGGAAATGTTTTCGAAAAAAAAACATGTCAAAATGGACTAGAACATGTCAAGTCTCTGTAACACATGGCAAGGAGGCAATCCCGGTAGAATCTATGAAAAATTATTTGTAGACTAAAGAACGTATTATATGAGAGCCCTATAAAAACATGGGTCCGGATAACGGAAAAGTACATCAGTCCCTTCTTTTTAACATTTCTGTCGTTTATGAGTTTCTGATCTTGCCATGAGTAACCACTGTTTCTTCTGAGGCGATATTTGATTGTGTGGTTCAAATTGTGTATAATCAAAGAATGTCTTTTATAGCAACACACCACATCATGCCCGGCATCCACGAGGACATCAGCAATTTTTCCCATGAAATTCATGTGGCTGTACGCCATCTTGGGATTGACGACAAGAATTTTGTATGGTTCACAGGAGTAGACTACGAATAGCAGTAAGGCGAGCGGCAGCATGTCTACAGTTATAATTAATGAGAAAAGCTACCATGGCGAAGAGTTCGCTGAAGAAGAAATATGTATGTGAATGAGTACACAGTGATTCTTTCGAAGGAAGTGGTAAGGTGAAGTGAAAAGTGAGAAGTTTACAGCTCTTTGTAGACCTGCTCACCAGAATGGATATTGACAGACAAGCACCGCAAACTCTTTATAATTCGTGTGACCTTGTCCAAATTCTAGATTAGATGTTTTGTATCGCTAGTGTAATATTGAACGTCTTTGATTTCGAATTTCGAAGATTTTGTAGTGTTTGTTGCAATTTGCTTTGTGCAGTTCCATTGAAACTGAATGCTCTAGAGAGGTCATTTCAAGAAGCGGTGAAAGGCAATTTTAGCTGAAAAATAAGTTTTAAACATTTATTGCCTTATATTTTATGTAACTTAAATTTCCCTGTAAGGTGATGAAACTCTCAAGGATGTTACGCTAGATAAAAACGAAGGGTTCGGAATTTTAGGGAGTTTTTAGCGGACATAAAAATCGGGAACAATCATGACTGCTAAAAAAATCACTTTTGATCCGAATCAACATGATTTCTAGGTTGTAATCAAAAACTGGTCTCGACTTGTACAGTAGTAATGCTGTTACAGTTGCAAATATCTCTCATTGTTAGATTTTTTTAAGGAAAAAAGCATGAAAGTAAGGCTGAGGTGCTGGCAGGGTATGATATAGGGAGGTCAGCAGGTGTAAAATTCGAAGAAAATCTCCTTCTCTCGAACTCAATGACTCAAACAGTATTTATGGATGCTACTTGTAGTCTACGTCTTTTATCACATCATTGTTTGACATAAACAGAAAGGACAGCCTAAGACCTTGATTCGATTATTGATGCTGATCTGATGACAATTAGCCGCGTGCAAATTTGTATATCGAAGATCAAATATGTAAATCTTGTATCTTTGCTTGATAGGAAAGCTAAGGAATAGCCGTTCCATTAGATATAGCAACCTAGCGAAAAGAATTTAAAAATGCCTATTCTTATCTCAAAAGAATATAAAGAGACCTTTGACGAGCTGATAGCGAATGGACGTCTGGTGACGATATCACCAACTGAATAACGAAAAAGAACGTCTAGGTATATAAACAGCTCGTTTTATTTTTTTTCCACTCAAGTTTGAATGCAAAGGGGTATGGACGAACTCTCAAACCAGTAGATTCCTATTCTTTGCTGGAGGAAAATCAAAAAAGTGTCAGTTGATGTAAAAGGTTTCAAGGTCCAATTTTCAGCACCTTAGGATCAGTAACGTTGTGTTGTTTTGTATTGGTCTGGCTGCAACTTAACGGCCTGCAATTTGTGCGGCTTTTGTCACTGAGAACTGGTTCAAGTGTCTGACTGCACAGACTACATTGTCACTAATATTATCAAATTATTTGTGTTGAAGTGTAGCGAACACATTGTAGTGTCTGTTAAATTGTGCTGATCTAGTTGTTAGCTAGTTCATACTCGTTTATGGTTGAAGTGTGACTGTATTGAAACTGACAACTTCTGCAAATGCAAATCGTAGGGTTTATCTTTGGTGCTCATGGGCTCTATTAAAGATATGAATATCACAAACGATTCCCGAAAAGTACCATCACTTTTATGAGTTACCTTGTACATTACCTTTGAAGTGAAATCAACAAATACTTACAAAGAACCGATAGAGTTGAGTGGACCCTCGTGTAGCTACATCACTTCTTAAAGAAATTCACAAGTTGTAAAATCATTTGACTAATTTGTTGTATAAGCAGGAAAACATTTGTAACTATTCAAATTTGAAAAAAAATTTTTGGATCAGCAAGCCCTGCACGGTAGCATGCCTTTGGCACTTTCAAATGTGACGATTTCAGCTCATCGCTCCAACACCGCAGTTAGTTCAAATGAGAGTCATCCTCTGGTTTTCTGTTGAGGATTCTAACACAGATAAGCAGTCTTGGGATCAAATCTTACCAATCAGTAAAGCAAGAGAATAGCTCGAGCATGTACATATATTACTGATTTTACACAGTCAAAATTTGAAAATTTACAGCTTAAAGATATACCTCTAACAAAATAACATCTTCTATTTCCAAAGCTCACATAAACCCATGCATTCCATATAAATAAATATATTTGATCACAAATCTTCCTAAATGTGGCAAATAATTGACGCAAACAAATAATAGCTTCATATTCATTCGCAACCAATCCGCACCAACCGAATAAGAAGGAAACGAATGATATACATCATAATCATACATATCATAAAAAATACCAGGCCGTCTAGACACGTTTTTAACATACATCACAACATTTCGTGAATGTCCGAATAAAGGAGAAAATATTCGGAAGAAGGAACAAGTAGTATTTTTCCAAAAAAATTCAAAACATTCTAGACCCTCTCTCCTTACTGAGGAGTCCCGGAGAGAATCTAGAAATTGAAAACTCCGTCTAAGAAAAGGGACAAAACGGAGAATGGTCATAAACTTGATTTCTTTATTAGGTGAGCAGTTTTGTAAGTGCTGTTGGCATACCAGCTCAAAACGTGCAATTATTACACCATAATGAAGGTCACAATTTTCTGTTTTTAAACAACATTTCCCTTTCCCTGCCCCTCTTCTATACGCCAGCTCTCTGCCGACGTTTTTCGTTATCAGCATGTTTAATAACCCGCGTGTGCCAATCCCCCTCCTCATAGCTCAATTGCAAATGATAAAATCGATAACGGCAATGAAAACTTAAGGGCCGGGCATACTTCACGCGATTTGGCAATTCGCCAGAAGTTTACAGATCCAACACAAGCAAACTGCACATGCACAGTGCGTATAATTTACATAGATTGATAAAATGCCCTATCTTTTCTGTACATTTGAAATGTGCTTACAAAAAGTTATGGCTAGTTGGAATATTGCCAAATCGCGTGGCGACTGAAATCGCGTGAAGTATGCCCGGCCCTTTACACTTCTGTAGCAATCAGCCCAATGGTTCAAAGTTTGCAAAAGTAGATAAAATCGATAAAGGTAAACTTTGGAATCCTTACATACTCACATACAGACATACAAATGACATACAGACATATAGAGAAACAAACACTCCTGCATACATAAAATCTCTGAAGATGAGTGAAATCGAAATCTGGGGTGTGCCGCACATAGAAGGATAGAGAGCGGAGTCTCTGTCAGATGCTGACCCAAAAATATGAGTCCACATACAAAGAAATAGATAACAAGTAGCCTTCCATTCGGAATTGCTCATGAGTAACTTTTATCTTGAAGGCAGTGGCTCTACAAAACTAAACACATTACAATTTTGATGCAATGGGTTGCTTACCGAGGTATGAAAACAGACCAGAGCGCCGCATCCTCATCAGCATCAGGGCCCAGCATAGATCGTTTAGAAGCAGACTGGACTCGTTTATGGGGCAAAAAGAAAGGGGATAGCGTTTTCGTGGGTTCGAAAAAACACAAGTTGGTTTAGTTGACTTCCTGAAAAGGTTCGAAGGGGATTTCGTAAAATTTTGTCATATTCGCGCATTTCAAAGTGAATTTGTTTGGGATCAGCGCACCGGATGCCCCAGGCAAGGAAGACATTCCCACGTTGAGGATTTGCCGAGATACTGCCTTCAAAACGCTGGTACTGCAAAGCTATCGCAGTTTTTTTTTGTCTTTCTTCTCAACCATTGCAGAGCACTGTTACATCAAGTGAATTCATTCTGCGCAAATACTGCATACTCGTAATTGCTCAAAGATACTGACTTCGCATATGAGCAGTGATAAAATTTAGCAGTTGTAATTGACCTTATGAAGGCTTTAAATGAGCGTGATCAATTGTTCTGACATCATTGATCAAGCATTGAATCCATTCCTTGAGAAAACTGCTACTACTTCTTGAGTGCCCATTACTTTCGGACTACCTTAAAGGCAGCGTACACCCAAAATTTCGCCTTCGATGTTTTGGTCATTTTGGGGCCTTTCCGTGCCCCTGATTAAAGTTATGACATTAAAATTCTCCAAGTGTCTTAAAAAACCGCGATTTCCGGGGACCTTCTCTTCAAGGGCGGACGAGTTTCGAACTGCTCCTCCCCGTCGGCATGCAAGCAGCTGCAACAGCATGACAGCTTGCAGTTGCAACTGCAACTGCTGCGTATGCTGTCGTGGTTCGTCGTCAGAAGAAGGCGGACCGCAAAAAGCAACTGCACTGTTGCAACTGCAGTTGCAGATGCAACAGAAGCTGCAACAGCAACAGCAACTGCAACTGCAGCTTACGCTGTCGTAGATTCGTCCGAAGGAGGCGGAGTGAAAGAATAATCAGGCGAGTTTTCTCCGCTCAGAAGCAACATTGGGAGACCGAACCAACGCAGTTGGTCTTCTTCTGGGCCCTGTATATACACGGTGTAAAAACTGGGTAACCCAACCTTTGGGTGTACGCTGCCTTTAAAGGCAGTAGACAGGCAAAATGGACCCCTGTCAGATTTTGGTAGTTTCGGGTAGTGGACCCCCCAATTACGCCGTAGCCCCAACCCCAACTTCCAGTTGATGCGCTAAGTCCTGAAAAAAGCGCTTCAAACTTCCACCAATAACGCCCACTCAATGGAAGTGGGCGGGGCTGGTGGAGTTTTGAAGCGCTTTTTTCAGGACTTAGCGCATGAATTGGAATGTGGGGTTGGGGCTACGGTGTACTTGGGGGGTCCACTACCCGAAACTACCAAAATCTGACAGGGGTCCATTTTGCCTGTCCGCTGCCTTTAAGGGTTTGATTCGTAATAGCAATCTTCGAAATTCCAGTCACTTAGGTAAGATTTCAGTCAGTCTTAGGTAAGATTTCCAAGGAAGTTTGACAGCTTGTACAAAGGTGGAACGAATCAATCGATGATCCTCAAAAATGGCCCTCCCAACAGACTAGAGTAGACAGTATAACGCTTTTTACAAAATGGAAGTTAGCTGTGCCTTGTTGCACACTCAAAGTTGAGCCGTATCTCATAGATATGAGGAATAATGCAGTTTCATGTC